TATATATAAATTAAATATATAAATTAAATATAAATTAAATATACATATAAATTTGATTTCTCTAATGTATAAAACTGTGAACTCTTTTAAAACTACACGCATGTACATTTTTCGTTTTTAGATCAATTTACCTCGGAGTTAAACTGAAGTTAGTGTGCGATATAAACTCACGTTTTACATTTTCACGAGCTTGTTTTTGTAGCATTTGAAAATTGAATCGAACACGATCTGTCGCAACGACAATCAGAATTTCCGCACGTTTGCTAACGTCGCGTCGTCGCGAGCTTGCGAATCGCGTCGTCCGTCGCGTATCGTTTGTATGCGATTGCGAAATGTAGCGGCAATGAGAGTAAAAACAAGAGAGAAAAAGAAAATGCAAACATGTGTTTGCCATAAATAAATAAAAAAAAAAAGACAACGCTGACGATGATGTGTTGCGTGCTCAAGAACGTGATTGAAAAAAGATTTCATCGAATGGCAGATTACCGCGAGATTCGGATGGATTTTCCCGTAAGAGAGAGAGTTTCACCGTCTCTCGTTAATAAAACATCGGCGCAGATCAGGCCGAGGACAAGCACGCAATGAGTCGCGCGTGTCGCGTATTTTAACACGCATTCACGCGGTACATACGATAAAAGCCGGTTTCGCGGGCTTTTCTCCGTGCACGTTTGCCGACCGTACGCCACCGTGTTAGTTGACAGCCGATGGTTAACGGGTATTATAAACGTGTCACACACGAACAGCGAATTTAAATGCCATCGGCTACGTGTCGCATCGTCGTCGTCGTCGTCGTCGCGTCGCGCACATATTTATATGCGTATATACAGGGTGATTCAGAACAACCTTTTATCCTTGAAAATACATATTCTTGACTAAATTCTCAGACAATTTTTTATCTGGCAAATTTTTGTCTGAAGCTTACTTTTTGAGTTATTAATAAAAATAGTGTTGAGACTTACCACGAGTCGAATACAAGAGGTAGGCAAGGGTGGCGCAACTCACCGTCGATGCGGGCGATTACGTGTGGTGCCTGACGCGATCAGCTGATCGCTACACACTGTTTCTCTCTCTATCTCTCTTCTATTTCTCTATCTATCTTTCTCTGTCTATCTCTCTCTTTCTCTCTAATTTATTTACTCATTCATAATTTCTATCACTTAATCCGTGCATCACATAAATCACTGTCAATCACGGTGAGTCAACTATTGTTATTAATAAACTCAAAAAAGTAAGTTTCAGACAAAAATTTGCCAGA